ACACCACTGAAAGAGGCACAGTGGGTGCCTAGCTCCGCCCATTCGACAAGCACGGAAAGTGTCTCTAGGTTCAATAAGAACATCTCTTTCTTATTCTGAAGCGGCTTTTTTAGCTACAGTGACAATCGCAGCTGTCATACCGTCTTTACAACCGGAAATGACAACTGCGATTGTCACAGTTTTTCAGCTACAGTGACAATCGCAGTTGTCATTTCCAATCCTGATTAAGCATAGGCCTACATGTGTGGCTGGTTTAATAGCTACTTCATAGCGTATTGTGAACTTTTGAATATTCAAATATAATTATTATGGATAACCTCATTAGGAACCCTATGTGGTAACCTTTGTGTGATAACTTTCATTTCTGAAAAGACTTTCACTCACTCGACGTCAAGCTGTGTGCTGAGACTTTTGTTGGTTTCCACATAGGCACATTGTATACGGTAGGCGCGATCGAGTTTGGTGATAAACGAGTCGTGGAATGAGATGATGGCGACGAACGATACCGTCAGAGTAGGTGGGGACATCTGCAATGCAAAAATTATTCTGATGTGAAATCACTTTCGGCTCTTGATTTAGCACAGCGCCACTCAGTGCCCACGCAACTGCTCCCCCATGCAATTTTCTTGTGTTCAATTATGCAAGTTCCCCAATGTCGCCTTCGCGGAAGGGACACCTTGGCGAGCTCAGCGGGAGCCACAAATAAACGTAGTTGCAGTGGGTGTGGTGCATTAGCAAAATCGAATAATCAGGCAAAGTCTAAACTGAAAGGAAGGCTATAAGACCTACTGGGGTTCCTGACACGATGTCGGAATCGCTAGAGTTGACAAGGCGCTTGGTGGGATAAATGGAAGTTGTTATCCTTGAATCTTGTTATCCCTCTCAGGCTTTTTGAAGGCTACGATTCAGTCGAAACCAAACCAGTTAGGCCAAAATTGATAAATAAGGTACTAGACTGGACACTAGAATGAACAATCCTTGTGTTGCTTTTGCACGTTGTTTCGCTAGAAAAACTGCGGCAGCATCCCAAGAAACAACTCGTCCTACATTCACAGGGCAAAACAGTAGGACCAAAGTATCGGTCGCTCAGCCAGCTCAAAGATACGTCTGGTGAATATATAGGGATTCCACGGTTGTAATTAGGTGCCTCTATGTTACAACTATGAAACTGTGGATGGGATTGGGTTACCAGTGAGGATGATTCGGAAAAAAAAACAATGAAAGAACCCCTCAAATGAGTCATCAGCATCTCGAGAAAATGAGACTGTGGGGGATACGGCAGAGGAATGAGAGAACAGAAAGACGAGGTGTAAAATGAGCAAACCAACTAATCGCGTCGCAAGCACAAAATGACACAAGGGTCATTTTTGCTTGAGAGATATCTCTCACATCTATCATTCGCCTGCATCCTTGATCCGCCTGTATCATCTTCTAGCAGCCGGGAGGCCTTCGGCCTGACGACCTTGATTCTTTCGCCTCTCATTGTCGTGCTGCGAAGGTGAAACTTCTGAGTTTATTCATCGGCCTACCTGTACCAGGATTGTAAGTTTTACTACTTAGGAAATTCGTGAATGCCAATTGAAACATTGGCTTCACTAAGCGGTACTTATTCTGATTATTTTCCATAACTATACTATATAGGTAGTGTTGATTTAGCGTCGCAAGAGGTCTTCGCACAAGTTGGCCAATTTTTACGTAGAAGAGGGGCAATGAAAGTGGATTGGTTAGGCGATCTCGGTATTGTAGGCGAGTAGCATACGCTTCGCATACTCACTGGAAGCAAAGCCGGTAGAACTTGTACCTGAGCTGAAAGTTTTGTTTTGTCGAAACCTGCATGGAGTAAGTTAGCTGTAATGGTGGACCTTCCACATCGGTCAACCGAAATAAATTATTTCCTATTGTTTGTTTGGTGTAGTAGCCGTTCGAGCCTTTTGAAAAAAAGAGCAAAAAAATTGTGACATAAAGGAGGTCTCTGAGCAACATGGCGACCTGCTTATAACGAGTGAAGGTACAATACAAGATAGCTCTCCCTGACTTTCCATTTCCGCTCCCCCTGAGTGAACACCGAGTTCCCTGCGAACAAGGCGTCGGCTGTTTTTTTTTGCTCATTTGGAATAACTAGTTTAATGGGTAGGATGCATTCTAGCCATCTCCAGTTACCAAATAGAAACATTAGCGTTCATCTTGTCGTTGCGAATCTGGTCCCAATGCTTTCCTAACGCATGGTTGCTTTTGCCCATTGTCGACCCCGTGTCGAGCTCTTCAGCCGCGACGGAATGACCGACGATTTTGTTCGCGGCTAGTTGGTCGTCTCAGTTAATAACAGGCTGCCGATCGCATCGCAAATGGAAACACCATCACAGCAATTTTCGAGGGATTTCCCATTCAAAAGCTTTTCACCGCGACTCTCCGAGACGCCCCGAATGCATTTGCTAAAAAAAGTAGGCGAACATGTTGTAAAGCTTTTTCTTAATTAGAAACTCGGCTAGCACCTCTAAAAAAAGCGGAATTCTACAGAATCCCATATGAAGTACATGAGTACAAACTAATTTGACTTGAGAAGAAAGATCCACGGAATTCCCCGAAAACCCGCCCCGACACAGAAACTAGGAGAAGTGGTTTCGTTGGAAATGGAAGCAAAAATACAAGCGTGCTGGTTTCGAGGTCGGGCATACTTCCTACGGAAAGCTTAGGAAACAACAATCAAAGGAAGGAATAGTAAGGGCATTCTGGGGTGAAGGATCCCTTTTTGGGACACGCCACGCACTTCACATTCTTCCATAATCTTAGTAGCTTCTGAATGCGACCCGACTTATACATACTCTGAACTGGAAGGTTAGGGGATGAAGAAAGGATCAAGCAGGAGGTCCATAGGGGTATCCTCTATTGCTATTGACTTTTGATTACTGTGAGTCTGGAAGTTTTCCGATAATTCCCCTATAATTAGGTATAAACTGTAAGCGAAGGTATAGACTGTAAGCGATTTGAGCTTTAACATTAGGTGCTGGCGCTGTTCGGCTTGGAAGGGACATTTTGTTCTTTCGCTGGTTGTTTTTGCTAGTTCCTGATAAAGACATGGGCACGATGCCCGGAGGTGGGCTGTTGTTGCCAGCGTGGAAGGGCTAGGTGGATGTGGCTAAAAGCCCTCTTGCAGCTCTTCCACCAATGACGCTAGCAACAACCGCCCGCCCCCCCGACATCGGCGTTCGTGTCGCTGTAAGTAACCCGTGGAATGGAAGAAGCTCCTGCTATTGCATTTGAGAGGTCCAACAGAGTAATCGGCAGCAGTTAATGGGAACCCGCGAAATACCCATCCAAGCCGAACTGCACCCTGGCTGTCTTTTCGGCCCCTACTTACTCATTACTGTTGGAATTTTAGAACAATTCAGGTTCGCGGCACACTCTAGCGTACATTAAGGGATTTCCACTGAATGATGTACTGCAATACGTCTAGAAAAGAAATGAAATGCATTAGAAATGTTTAGAAATGCAAACAAAATGAAAACTCACTTTTCGGTCACGTTTGGCGTTACATGCTCCCAATGGCACTGTCAACTCCACGGTGTTCGTGTCTCTTCTCCGCCGTTCCGCAACCTTCTTTTCCTTTTCGCAACTACACGGGTCGCATTTCAAAGGACAGTTTGCTGATGTCAGTCCTTGTGGACCCGGGTACGTTAGAACACCGTCGGAAACGTCCACTTTTGATTTTTGGAACACCTTCAGACCTGGAGCCTCAGTTGTCTTCATTTCTTCTCGTAAAGATCCACCAAAGGCGCCTACATATGGCAACCCGTGATGGTCGCTTGAGCTGACTCCACCATAGCCTGACCACTTGGAACTGGCTAGGAAATTGGCACTATCTGGGGCGTTTTGATGAACTTTTCCAGATTTCACTTGATCAGATACCAGTAAATCACTTTCACTCAGAAAACGACTGGTTTGTTCCGGTGAGGGGAATACTTCAGCACTGTCGAGATAATCTCCGCCCGCCTCTCGAGATCCTTCCATTCCGGCGCCTGAAAATATTGCGAAATAATAAGATAAAGTGTTGTATACCAAACGTAATCACAAGAATCACAGGCGAGCCTCATGATATGCTAATATATGATGAAGCTTTCGAATATTGAAATGGAGGAGTTCCTTAGGGGAAGCGTCCCTTCCCACAAGAGGAGTATGGGTTTAATACGTTGGACACTCGTTTCCCCGGGTATGTCCCAAGACAATCGTAATACGCCGCGCTGGTGGGCGTGGCCTGCGATGCCGCGTCCGAAAGACGAGTTGTTCTGCCTGACCGTTTGAATATGAGTGATAAATAGAAGGGAAAACTCGATATCGCTGTCATAAAGTCCTGTTTTCGCTCGAATTCACACGATTAGCGCTGCTCGGATCGATAGGCTGATACACATGGGGACTTTGTCGCGCACGGCCGCACAGTGCGCCGCGCGCGGCGACGCGACAAAGTAATGATTGTCTCGCCCATTCCCGTGCACCTCCTCTCCGACACCGAAAGATGAAGTTTCTCACCTTCAGTTCTACTGAGAAAAGGCGAGTCTAATTCCTTTTTCAGAACCCGAAGTGTAGTGCAATAAAAATGGAATTGAGCGCGTTTAATGGATGAACTTTTATGGTAGATCCACCCATATAAGGGAGAGGAAGGAAGGAGAGCTCTCGTTCTTGGGAAATCCTCGACGTAACTAGCCTTATTTAAATATTTTTGAGAGGTATAAGGCGAGTCGGAGAACTGTTGCGAAAGGTTTCTCCTGCGAATTGGAAGCAGGCTGAGGCAACTTCCCGTTATCTGGTGCACAGGTAGTTTTCGTGGGTAACGGAACGGAGGCCATTGTTGGTTCAATGAAACTGAGAGAGAACGGCAGAAAAACGGAGAAACTCTCAAAGTGCTTGTGATGATTGAAGCAATGGTGGTGCTTAGGAAATTGAAACTGTGGCTTGTGCATCCCATATCTCGGAAATAGAGTGGGTGTGGATGCGTGCTTCATTTTAGCTACGCTGCGCTTGCCGTGGGATAGTTCCATTCGAAGCTACCAATATTCTGTCATTTTGTCATGCGCTACAGTCGTCATCCGGGCAGTTGATTAGGCGGTCAAAGGGTCGCAGACGCGGCTGCGGCGCGCCACGACCGCGGCGATCAGCTGTCCAGCCTGGTTTGGCCATTTTTTACCTAATTTTCACTGTATTTTCTATTTTTCAGGTAAATTGTGTTATTGTCCTTATGAAGCATTTTGGGACGTGGATTCTTTTTTGTTTTTGTAATGGAGTTTTTCAATTATTTAATTGCTCGCAAAAACTAGAAGAAAATCTCAGGTTTAATTTACCTTGTGAAGACAAGGAACAACTAACCTTAAGAAAAGCAGCCAAAAACAGTGAAAATTAGGGAGAAAATGGCTAAATAGGCTGGAAACAGCTGATCGCCGCGGTCGTGACGCGCCGCAGCCGCGTCTGCGACCCTTTGACCGCCTAATCAACTGCCCGGATGACGACTGTACATGAATACAATTGTCCTAAGGAAATGTCCCAACAGGACTTGTCCTATCTTCAAGGATATGGACTGTACCTACGTCTCACCTGCGGGATTTTCGTCCGGAAAAGCTGGTCGTTTACGTGTCGGTGATAAAAGCGTCTCTGAAAAAAAAACAACAAGTAAATCAACCTACTTCGACAGGCATCAAAAATATATGGCTCACCATCCGATGGTAGTGGAAACCCGTTCACATACGCTCGCATACACTTCCGATTAGAATACTCTCCTTTTACAAAGATTTTCCCGGCAAATGGACGTATAGTCTCGACTGTTACAGTGATGTGATCACGTTCGCATGAGATTACTGGAACTCCTGGAAATAAAAAATGGCAGGTACAGTTGGCAATGGAGAAGAGGAGGCGGAGAAGCAGCGAATCCGTCGGTATAACATCACAGTAAGAATCCCATCAGAGGGTCGCACCTTCTCGTCTAGAATTCCGGAAAGTGATAGGAAGTTGGAAAGTATTAAGAAGACAGTCCGCAGGATGGGGAGAAGGGATGGTCGTACTGCTGGAAGAAATTTTGGAGCGGGGAAGAAGTCGTCTGTCACCAGCCATTTCTCCTATCCCGTACCCTGAGTCCACAGCCGACCCGCCATTCTAACCGTCTCAGCACAGAATCCGTTGACGATTTCCTCATCTTTTTTGATCGGAGAGGGTTACACAGCTCTTCAAAAATCTGGGCACACTTGAGAAGAGTCCCAATATTCTTGGGTTTGTAGTAAAATGTTCCTCGCTACTGAATCTCACCTAGACGCCTCCTGCCTCCAAAAGAATATTTGATTTCATCATCCAGGACAGAGGGGGCTAGCAGCAAGCCAGGGATAGCCGACAGGTTAAGAGTGAAAGCAGCAGGCCGCACCCTGGAAAGCTGCGGGTTTGATCTAAGGCAAAAGCCGCGCCCTTATGAAATTTACTGGATTTTGCAGGTACCAGGGCTAGGATTGGATTAGCAGGTTGGCTTATGAAGAATTTACCGACAGAAGTAACGAAAAATAATTAAAGATAGAAAATCGTAATGGTAATGTTAGTGCAATCCGATAATAGTAACTGAATAGAGTTTTACTGTGATCAGTCTCTTACCTGCTACTGAGTTGTCGAATCGAGACTCTTCCGCTCCAGTCACAATTGAGATATCAGCCTAAAACAAATACATATAGTACGTGGGCTTCAATCGCCAGACTTTCAGTGGTGGGCTTAGATTATCTGAGGAGGATACAACACCAGGATGGGATGTAATCGCAAGATGTGGTAAAAATGATAGTGTCAGACGACTCCTGAAGTATCTTCCCTCTTTACGACCCCCTCGCTCACTCATCCTCATCCTAGCTACCATTTTCCTGAGTTTCTCCGACCACTCACCGTTTTTTCCCAACATTTCAAAAAAATTTCTGTCCTTTCCTGAAAACTAAAGTCGAGTTGGGGAGAGAGGAGAGGGCTGGGAAGGAGGGGGAAGGGTATGACGTGATCTGCTGAGTTCTCGTCTGGTTCTCTCTTCTGGGCGCATAGTTCACCTTCATGAACAAAGCTCGAAATAGAAGCGGGTTTTATTCATGATAATTAGGATTGATGATGATGATTAGGCGTAACGGATAGCGCACTCGCCCGGAAAGCGTGAGGTGCGGGTTCGACTCCCGCCTGGGCACGACTTTTGCCCATAACTCAGCATTCTTGTGATAACTTTCGAACGCGAACTGCGGCGTAAAACAGCAGTTATCATCACAAAAAAACAACATAATTAGGACTGTTTTCCCCCTATTTCTCTTTTTTGACCGCTGAATCTCTACGTACCTTCTCATTTGTATGTCAACCCCGCCACCCACAATTAGTAATCGGAAGATGTGCTATGAAGAAAAAGAGCACGGAAGACACCGTACAAGGTGACCTCTCCATATTTTGCAAAAGTCTCTCAAAAGGACAATTTTCGTTCATATAAACCTGGCATTCGTGTAGAATTCGGAACAATCACATCGTGATTTAAATAGTTCAAACAAACACTTCCGGGATATGTTTGCACGATGTCCCGCGCATCAAACGGGGTCCATGTTTACGCGGAATCGCGTTACGGTAGCGAAAGTGAAATGTTATCCAATGTGCCCCGATTTCCTAGTGTTGAATGAAAATTGTGTAGTGTTGTCATGGTGGGTGTTGTTTTTAACCACAGCTTTGAGCAGAACTCATGTTCACGCATGGTCAATAGCGAAATTCCTCCCCACCCCTCATGTCGAACAGCCTCTTTTTCAACTGGGAAGCAAAGGCACTACATCACGGAACGACGACTGTGGGAGGCCTTGGACACAGCGAATCCTGTGAAAACCACCTCCTACCTGATACAGCCACTGCGAACTGTGAGAAGTAATCCATGCAGAACCCATATAAGATTTTTTTATTAGCGAAGGCCACCATTTAGGCGCCATTGGAACAAAAATTTCA